ATGATTATTGACATTGAGGATTTTTTCATATGGTCATATGTCTATTGGCCATTCATATATTCTCTTTGGAGAAGTGAATATTCAGGGTCTTTGCCCATTTTTTAATTGGATTATTTGTCTTCCTGGTATTGAGTTGCATGTCTTTTTTTTTAAGATTTTATTCATTTATTTTTAGAGAGGGGAAAGGAGGGAGAAAGAGAGGGAGAGAAACATCATTGCGTGGTTGCCTTTTGTGCACCCCCCACCAGGGACCTGGCCCACAACCCAGGCATGGGCCCTGACTGGGAATCGAACCAGTGACCCTTTGGTTTGCAGTCCGGTGCTCAATCCACTGAGTCACACCAGACAGGGCACGTAACTTCTTTATGTATTTTAGAAATTAACCCCTTATTGGATGTATCATTGGCAAATATGTTCTTGCCTTTACAGTCAATTAATATTTGAAAAAAAAAAAGCACAAACATACCATGGAGTAAAAACTATCTCTTCAATAAAAGGTGTTGGAAAAATTTGACAGGTACATGCAAAAAAAAAAAAATGAAACTAGACTACCAACTTATACCATATACAAGAAGAAACTCAAAATGGATACAAGACTGATATGTAAATTGTGAAAACATAAAACCCTAAATCAAGCAATAATCTCAGATATCTTGCATAACAAAGAGAAAGGCTTTAAGCACAGGAATGACTTATTATATTTGCATACTTTATTAATATTTAAATGAGGGACTTCCCATTGTAAATAAATAAATATTTAAATAACCCTGGCAGTCGTCAACAAAAATACAGGGTTGGGATAAAATAGGGAGTAATAATAAAAGCAGGGCAATAACTCTGAAGGTTGTAAAAATAATTCATTTCTAAAATAATTAGCAAATATTATGGGATTAGATTTGAGACAGAGAGATAAGCTAGGGTTTTTTCATTATTAAATGGCAAGGGATTGAAAATAATGATGCTTGGACTGGAAATAAAAGGAGACATGAGAAATAGTAAGGCAGTAAGACTGGTGATATTAGTGTTCTGTTGGATGTGATGGAGAGATGACTTCTAGGTCTGTAACCGGTTCACCATGGCAATAGAGGTCCTGGGGCCAGCTTCACAGATAGGCAAACTGTGCGGTCACATGGAGTCTTGCATGCAAAAAGGCCCCATACTAGGCTTAATATTCTACTGTCAGTGTCTTGAAATCGTTAATGATTTTTAGCAAGGGTACTTATTTTCATTCTTTACTGGAGCCTGCAAATAGTATCTCAGTTCTGAGAGATACTATTCATCAAAACATGGAATAGATAAGGAAAATGATCTTTGTTCTCATAATGAGAACATAAGTGTCAAAAACAGCTTTGGCCTGTTACTAGGCTGTGGGCTCCCTGCTTAAGACCTTAAGCTAGTTGCTGGAGATTTCATGAGCTGTTGTTTCTGTTTTAATGGAAGGTACCTAGTATATGTTTGATGTGTTAAGACATTTCAAATGAAGCATTGATAATGCTTTATAAAGCATTATCAAGTGAAGATGACAGGATCGATTCAACTAGATACAATGTGGGGAATCATTAGCCTAGAGATGATGTTGAAGTCTTGGGAGTAGATGAGTTCGTCCAGGGACAGGGAACAAACTGAGAAGAGAAGGATGGCAAAGCTGAGCTATGGAGACCACCCACAGAAAACTACAAATAGGAAAATGGGAGATAATAACCAAAGAAGGAAAGATATGCCCCAAGTGGCTAAGAGTGATGACTTTAAATTGTCTGTGCTCCAGTCCTGACGCCACCACTTACAAATGTGTGACCTTAGGCTTTTATTTATCTTTTCCAAGCTGCAGTTCCTTCCAATGAATTGTGGGAATCATAGTACCTAACTTACAGGGCTGCTGTGAGAGTGCAATGAGACAGTCCCTATGAAATGCTTACCATAAGGCTTAGCGTAGAAGAAAAATCAGTGAATGTTAACTGTTAGTTTTTTATTACTACTTTTAAGCACAATATAAAAAGAAAGAATACATGTCATAGGAGAACCTAAGAGGAGAAGAGAGATTTGGAGGGATTTGTTTTGTTTTGTTTTGTTTTTTAAAAAGGGAAAGTAGGCCAAACTCCAGATGCCTGAATAGTTAGTCAAGGGAAGAACTAGAAAGTCCCATTGATTTATGAACAAAGAAATAATTAATAAGCTGTACCAGAACAGTCTCAGTGTGTCAGTACTCTCTAGGCCGATTGTTTTTGATAATTCAGACTTTGAACTTTATCAATTTGAAACTAAAACTATGTATATCTGATGCTACAACCAGTAAACATGAAATGATGTCCTATTTCTTCTTTTTCTCAATACTTCTTGGTCCATTTCCGAAAAGCTCTAATACCTAGTTTAAGAGAAACAGAACTCTTGTATATTGAAACCAGTGTGACTCACGGGAAAGCTGATTATAGGATACAAGACTGTGGAACTCCAATTATTACTGCTAAAAGAGGAAGTTCCTGGGGAAAATTATGTTTGACCAACTTCCTCTTTCTAATAAGAAAGATGCAAAATGGAGCTTCATAGAGGGTGAGGCCCCTGTGGTCCTTAATGCAGGGGCTGTGCTTAAAGTGAACTGCAGAGACTAGCACAAACCTCTACCTGGCATTAAGACTCCAGTTTTAAAAGTATAGGGCTCACAGTAAGACTCTGACAGGTTATTCATTTAACAAGCATTTATTGAGCTCCAGACGCTGGAAAATACAAAATTGGGTTGGATACGTTTCCTGCAAGGTGCTTATGGTAACAGACAAGACGAGAGAAATGCATTAGGAAAAAGCAAATCAGGTAGAGCTTGAAACCTGACATGAAGGAAATCCAAGGTTATTGTAGAATTTTGCACAGCTAGAAAGGTGTTTGGGGGCCAGGTGATAGACATCCTTAAGTGCCAGGCCAAGGAAATTTGAACTTTATTTTATTTACAGTGAGGAGTTCTTCAAAGGTTTTATTGCAGGATCTGAGATGTGCGCTGACTCACAAGTACCATGGACCTAAATCTGGGGAACAAGGAAGATCAAGACTGAATTTGCAGACTTGGGGAACTGGGCATAGAATTGATGGTTAAGATCAGATAGAAACACATAAGAACACTGAGGTAGAGAAATAGTTATAATAAAACTGCAAATATTTAAATGTTCAGGGCTGAAATAGAAAAATAGGATGTAGTAATTGAAACAGAAAATGTATACTCGAAATGGTAGGCGAGAAAATCAAAAAAACATGATATTAAAAAAGGATTTATAAAAGGCAGGGGAAAGAGCATCACAGAATATCTTGGATAAACACTACTATTTCCTACAGATGTGGAAACAGAGGCTCAGTATTAAAATTCTTACTTTTGTTTCCCACTTGCTAAACAGCCATATAGTTAATAGGTGACAGAGTAGAAAGTTTTACTTAAGTAGATTGTGCCGCCCTAGCAGGGAGAAAGATCTGGGCTCAGAGGGAGCAAGTCAGAATTCTAATCCAATCCTGATGTGAACTCCCAGGATGGTACCCGCTAAATCATTTCACTCCTATAAATCTCAAATTTGTCATATATTTAATGAGGGTGTTGAACTAGATCATTTATTCTATAATGTTACTTTCACGCCTGATAATTTATGATTCTATGCTTTTACAGTGTTACATTAATTTCTTGAGAGAGTGCAGAAAATTAGATAAAAAATAATGACTAGCATAAACAAAAATAACTAAATCATCTTTTAATCCAAGATTGCAGGGAAGAAGATGATTAAACATGAATTTTGAGAAATTGCATTTAGTAGGTATAAGAAACTGAACTTGGAGACTGGTTGATTATTGGGCTGAATGGAAATAGATAACTGAGGATGGCTGTCAGGTGTCTGATGAACCATGAATCGATTAGGCTACTTTGACATGAAACCTTCAAAGCTAAACCCTCCATGGGAATTGTTAAGTGAATTAGCACTGTACTTCCTGCTCTTAGCTTTTATATTTAATTTACAGAATGGGAGGAGGGAGAAGATATGGATAGATAAATTAACTTACAAATAAATTTGTTTACAAGCTTGTGACCTAGGTTTTGGGTCCATTGGGCAAAAGATGGAGTAGTCTTCAGAATTCTTACAGTGCAGATCCATGGCCTTGGATTCAAACCGTGAAGGCATCTTTGACAGACAACCTGGCAGCCTGAGCTAGTGAACAGAGCTGTGGCTTGGAAATAAGGATACCTCCACTCCAGTCCTCACTCTGTTCTTAATTAGTGGTATGATAGTGGACAGGGCTTTTCACATGGGTGTGCCTTAGTTTTCTAGTCTGTAAAATGGATCTGGTCGTTCCTATGTAATGGATAAGATCGCTCATCTTAGTGACAGACTCTCAAAAGATGTTGGATATAAGTAGGGGGTTAAATCAAATCTGTTCAGGCTCTTCTCAAGTTTGTTAGTATTTACTACTTGACTTGTTAAGCTTAACGATATACATATCCTCCTTTAATGTGCTCAGATTTTTAAAAATCATAAAATATTGTCTTTTAAGGTAAATTGAAGTGATTATAATCTTAAAATATATTGTTCAAACTACATATCAAACACCTCTGAGGTTCTGATATCCATCTAGTCCTCTTTTCTACCCTACTTACCACCAGTCACTGAAATATCTATCCATATGTCACTAATTTCTGGTTGAAACAGTTTTTTCCTTTTGGATAAAGACCCAATTGTCAAGGTTCATTGTGGATCAGATTCCTATCAGTGTATTTGCAATCAGCCATGACCAATTTGTCTCTGGGTTTAAAACCAATCTTTTCATATTACACATCTATGAAAAACATTGAGAATTTGTTTCCTGAAGTGATTTTTTTTTTTTTTTTTTTTTGCCTCCTTATTTTAATAAGCAGTCTGCAATTGTTTACTCAGCCTGTTGTCAGAGAAAGCCCATGGCAGTCTGGAATTCAACCTTAGGTCAAGGTTCTCCCCTGCTGCCTTGACATTTAGCAACAAACTGAAATGCAAAAATGTTATTCTGAAGTTCCCTTAACCTGGGTCTTTGGTATATCTGGAGCAGTGATCTCTTCAGTAGCAGCTTCAGTGCAGATACTTCAAACAAAATCATGGAACGTCAAAGTCGGAATTTAAAGACAGTACTGTCATTATCTATAGGAAGATTTCACATTTCTGAAGATTATGGTTTTCTCCTTCCAAATCCTCTGGTAAGCATGGAGGCTTTGAGCAGGTCAGAATAAGCTTATTGAGATCCTGGTTTGTTTGTTTTGTTTGTTTGTTCGTTTGTTTTATGTAGTCATTAAGAGAAATGCAACACAAATACCAAGTTGTTGATCTGGGAAAAAATGCTACAAATAATGCAATGCAAATTACCAACAAAAGAGAAGTAATAGTTATAGTAAAGGATAGTCTAAATGGAATGTTTTAATGTCAGGCTTTTTTATTTCTGTAATAGATTGTCAGGTCAGTAAACTTATAAGAAAATCTAATAGTTATAAAAAAAAAAGACAACTTAAAGATCAATTATATGGGCAAATAAGCTTACCTTGTCTAGTTAGTGGGACAGAAAAGAAAACACAAAGGACCTTGAGTGCTTTCGGGGCTGGTAGGAGGAATTAGATATTTACAGAGAACAGGAAAAAACTTGAGAAAGAATGCACCTGTTTCCTAATTCTACCCAAGATACAGTCTGTAGTGTAATTTTTTTGTCAGTTAAATTTTTTAACAATGTTTCCTGTTTGAATGTGGTCTGCAGCCTACAATGATGTAAGTGTGAGAATTCACAGAATTTACAGTCATTTCCTTTTACATTTGGGTTAGCTAAAATCCAGAAAAAGTGACTTTCTCAAGGTCATATTAGTGACAAAAGTGGAACCAGTACTCAAGACTCTTGACATTGTGACATTGTTTTTTCTACTATATTGTAAATAAGGGGCAAGATCACTCAGTTTAAATCTAGAGATCCAAAGTTACCATCATTGCAATAACATATCCAATTTTTTCCTCCCAAAAGCGTAAATTGTCATTTCACTGTGAGAAAAGAATGGTCTGGAATTCAATGAGCTTTTATTGAACACCTACTCTGATGTTTATTTACTTCAGAGCATTATTAGATGAATACAGGTGAAGATAGGTAGGATCCATCCCCTGGTTTTAAGAGAGTTAAAAACTCTCTTGTAAAGCTGTTAGTTGTGAATCCAAGTAACACATCTGCAAGTAATTTGAGCATTAAAATAAATAGAAGCAATAACTTCAGGGCGTTATGCAGAGCAGGACTGCAGCCCTTCGCACGGGATGATGTCCTCTGCCACTGCCACCTGGGTCATCAGGAGCCTTCGTTTATTAGGAACTGAAGGGATCCCCATGATGTGGGACTTTCATGCTAAACCATGCATTAGTCCTGCTAACTTGCACTTAAACAAACTCATGACACCTTCAGTGAATCACAAGCAGCGCCTGACCCTCAGTTTTCACCCCCACCCACTGGATTGCTATGGAGCCTAAAAGCACTTCGATAAACGCAATGTAAGGACTAAGAAACCAGCTCTCCTGACCCTCAGTCCAGTGCTTGTTAAAAACTCCATTCTGTGCATATAATTTGATGCAAGAATACCCCAATCACTCCTAGAATCACTCCAGTTCACAAGGAGGAAAAAATGCACTTAGGCCAAGAAATTCTTACTGGGATTAAATATGTACCCTGAGCCGAGGAAAAATATTATAAAGTACATGAACATCCTGTAGAGCTACGGTTATTGAGTTCCCTTTTGTTGTTTCTTTTTTACATATAAATTAAAAAGAGAAACAATAACAACATCAAGTTGGGATGTACTGAGCCAGACCACATTTTCCCTATGATGCTATAGAATGTCCCCTAGTGGAAATTCCCATTCCAGAAGCCATATTAAAAAAAAAAAAAAGTCCCTGGCAAAACTTTATCGTACCTGTGTGCCAGATTTCTAAAAAACACAGTTTGTTTCAGTTTTAGTTTTGTCTCATTTGTGTAAGAAGAAACACCTCCGTTTCTGGGAAAAGACTGGGAAGTAGGACTCCACCCTTGTTTTCTCCACCCTTCAGGAGAGATTCTAACATCTGTGTTAGGAGGCAGCAGAAGTGTTGCAATTGATCAGAAGGGAAGAGGTCAATCACCGATTTGGCTAAGAGCATGAATAGGTTTTGATCTCCTTTAGCTTAAAGCAAGCGATGGGAGAAGTTTTCATGTCAGCTGGCCCAAAGATTTTTTTCCGCAAGCTTAGTTGTTTACTATAAATATTTACTTCAATGTCTCTCTGAAAAAATCACAGTCAAGCTAATAAACAAGCAAACATTCTGACTTTGGGGAGAGAGTGCTGACTTGGTCTACTCCACTGTTTTTATAAGCTCTCAAACATTTCCAGGATCCCATGTTTCAGTATGGATAATAAATATGTCTCAGACTCATATCTATAAATATTCCACAAAAATCTTTTGGCAGAACATGAGTGTGTGCGTGCGTGCCTGCATGTGTGCGTGAGTGTGTGTGCGTGTGAGTTGGCAGAGAGTACATTTAGAGAAAAGAACATGAGGAAATTAGCGTGGCAGGAAAAGAGAAACCAAATAGATTATGTTAGGAGATTCCATTAGAGTAAAATTAAGAGAGCTTGAAAGTTAGCCTCAGGAATTTAGATTGCTTACGTGACACAATGCAACGGGCATTTGCAAAATTTCCTAGCAGAATGTTAAGCGCAGGGTGGGTTAGAACAGCGATTTCTGCACTGCACCCAACAATTGGTTCGTGGGGTGGGGGGGGCTTTAAAAAATACTGATGCTACAGTCCCAACCAGAACAGTTAATTCTGAATCTGTAGCCTAAGAAGCTCAGGATTTGATAAGCATGAAATACATAGAGGATAATGCAGGTCCAGATGAGAAATGAGGGTTCCACTTAAACGGCTGGGTGTGGACATAAAGGAGCCATTGTTATGAGAATCACTGAAATAGGCCTTGGAAGTAGTTCAGATACAGAAACAAAGGAGGACTTTTAAGTGTGCCACGGAGCAGAAGGACTAGTGCAAATGGTCATGAGGATGTGGGAAGCTTTATTCTTTAAAGTCATCAAGCAACCCTTTAGGAAAAATAGATAATAATCTCCTGTGGAAATTCAAAATGCCTAATAGAAGCAGTGGATTCCAGTTGCTTAGAAGGAAGACTACCAAAATAATTGCTGCTGATGGCTATGGCTTCCAGATAGAAGTTATACGTAGAAAGAATTCAGATATTTCCCTGAAAAACTGTTGGCTCTGCTAGGATCTGGATCATCATGTTGACTAGAAATCTGAGGCAATAATGGCGATATAGTAAGGACAGAAACAGAGAGATCAGACTTCATATCAATTAGCATTAATTGATACAGAAGGAGGTTGGGTGGGGTATGGATTTCTGCTCTAAAATTTAAGAACCAAGAAAGGTGAGTAAAACCAAAAGGGAAACAGACAGACAGGAGTGAGGAGGGGAGGAAGGAGGGATAGCCAAGATAGTCTCCAGAAACTGGACTTTGAAACAATGAAGCTACGTAGAGTTTCCTTATTCAGAATATTTTGAAACAACATGGGAAGAGATGAGCTGACAGCCTAAGAGAGGATGAACACATTAGGCATAGGAAGATACACACCTGCTACTTTTAGTCAAAATGATGCTCAGGAAGTATACTAGTTTCCTCGGCTGTTGTAAGAATTTATCACAATTTTGGTGGCCTGCAACAACAGAAATTTATTTTCTCAAAGGTGTGGAGATCAGAAGTCTGTAGGGTGTCCACAGATCCGTCCTCCCTCTGAAGGCTCCAGAAGAGAATCCTTCCAGACTCTTCCATCTTCTTGTGGCTCTGCAGCAGAGTGACTTCACTCTCTGCCTCTCTCTTCACAAGTCTTCTCTGTGTCCCTCTTCTACCCTCCTGTCTTCTCTTACAGGGACACTTGTCATTGGATCCACACTAATCCGGGATGACCTCATCTTGCGATCATTAACTGAGTTACATCGACAAAGACCCTTTTCATAAATAAGGTTCCATTCAGTTTCCTAGTGGACATATATTTGGGGTGTGGGAGGTGCAGCACTCAACCCATTACAGGGAGAGAGTAAAAAGATAAAGAATTAGAGGGACCTGGGCAATGAAAATGAAAACTTTGTTTTGCTCTGAGATTCCCAAACCTGACCATTCGGGCATGAGAGGGTTAAAGATGATGAAAAATGAGGGTGTAAAGTACAAATCGGTCACGGAGATATGTGACACAGTCCAATATCATTGACTGGTTTGTCAGGACAATGCTAACCCGTGTTCACTGCATGATCTTGATATGCTGAAGATAGATCTTATAAATTACAGCTTTAAGGTCAGAAGAAAGCTAGAATATGAGACACAGTATGGGCAAAGGGTAGGCGATTAATTTAGCTCACTTAAGCTCAAGTCCAGCCTTTTTTTAATATGTGACCTCTTTTAATTGTCACACAGTAATTATGTGACAACAGTTAAGTGGGAGTCTTCTCTCCTGCATAAATTTAAATGGATAAACTAGAATCATGTTTCTGAGCCTGTGTTTGGCCTGTGGAGTAGGGAGAGAAAAGAGGAGCAAAGATATTCTTGAGAGTGCTTAAGGACTAAGTAATTCGGTATGTTTATTCTCTGATATAAAAACAAAATTCTTATGTTGCAGTGATAATTTGTAACTGACAGACACTTTTGTATGATTTTAGTTTCTTCAATTTTTTCATCTGAGATCTTTGAATCCTTGAGAAATTATTTTCTGGGAATTATCAGCATTTTTCCTTTAAGACAGTTTTATTCATTACTCTAGTTGAGAAGGAGTAGTCAATATGACAAATTCTGATTAATGGCATAGGGAGAGTTAATTATAGTCATACTGGTATCATTTTGAATTCCAGCTAAATCTCTGATCTGTTTTAAAACTATCAAGTCATATTTAATCTCTTGAACCTTATTTTACTTCTGTGAGAATAAAATTTCATGAACATGTTATCAGTAAGCAAGTAAGATATTAATAAAAGTTAGATATTACTAATACGTAAAAGCCCCATATAATTCTTACACTCTGGTTATAAACTCAAGTTAATGAGTCCCATAAATTAACAATCCACTGTATGAAATCTTACTTTACATTTCTCTTTACTGATAACTTATTCTATTATTAATCTTTAGAAATTAGAAGACTACT